ACCAATCTACCCTTCCTCCTCTTGGATTTTCTTCTCTCAGTCTTGGAATAAGAGAAACACTGGACCAGCAACCATTAGAGGACCAAAAATTTCACCCTTACTACTTATATGGTAAAGGTCTCCAAAACCATATGCAGTTTTTTCTACCTAGATTCTTGGGAGAGTATTCCACTAAGCACCAGGAATTCTTTGAGGTAGGATGTGAGAATTTATTATTATTATTATTATTATTTTTTTTTTACTTAATGTGCTTTATCTAGGTTATAATCCACATTCTACCTATAACCTCCAAATGAGAGAAGAAAATATCCAACATTTTCTTTAATTGCTTCTTCCTGAGACTATTAAAATAAATTGGATCTTCCCTTCAACCTGTCATATATTTTATCATCATAAATATCATAAAATTAACCTTTGGAAAACACAAAAGTAATGTAATAAAAAAACACCTACCACCCATAGGGAAAAAAGAAAAAAAAATAATAGCTTTTCTATAGCCTAAAACTAAAATAATACAATAGACCCCTGATTTAGGAGTCAAAGGGGAGAAAATAAAAACAAAAACAGGGGCGCCTGGGTGGCTCAGTCGTTAAGCATCTGCTTTTGGCTCAGGTCATGATCCCGGGCTTCTGGGATCAGGCTCTGCATTGAGCCCACATCGAGCCCCACATCAGGCTCCCTGCTCAGTGGGAAGCCTGCATCTGCCTCTCCCACTTCCCCTGCTTATGTTCCATCTCTCTATCAAATAAATAAATAAATATTTTAAAGAAACAAACAAACAACAACAACTACAAAACAAAACAAACCCAAAACTACTCTGGCTCCCAAACCTTACTGTTTCTGAGTTTCTGTTTTCTCATTTTCTGGAGAATAAATATAATACCTACCTACATAGTAGGTCAGTGTGGTGACCCAAAGCAATGGGGTATCACACAGAAACAGAGGACACGGAACTGTGTTTTAGCAGGTGAGGGTAGCTAATCTCCAATAATGCATCACAACTTGTAAGTGAAAAAATTAAAAATAAAAGCTAATAAATAAGGGAGAAGTCCCTTTCTAGGGAAAGTAAGACACCCCTGTTGCACTGACATCAGCTTTGGCCATGTAGCCTGTGGAGCCATTTGCCCAGCTGAAGATAATACATTCTTGACCTATTAACTCAGGAGCAACCCCGCAAGTTGCTTTGGCCAATGGAAAATGCTGTGGTTAGTAATCCCATGCCTCACTTGTAGGTAATGATAATGAACTGGGTTTTGTTTTGTTCTGCTGTGTTTCCCACAGCAAACACTGCCCTCAGGAGATGACTTGCTCTAGACAGAGGCCACTTCGTCAGCTGGGCTGTGGAGTGTAGGCTGAATACAGCACCGTTTCTGCCGGCTTTTGATGGCACTGGCTGTGGAGTTTGGCAACATAAACCTAGCTACCTTAACTGATCCCAACTTGACAGTTAGAGGCAAATTGTGCCTGATAAACACCCAGAAAATAATAGTGTGGTTTCCAGAGACTGGAAGCTATCAGGATGGGAACCATGGCTGGCAGTGAAAACTCATTTAGCAAAATGGTTGCCTGCAGTGACCCGCAAGGTAAGCGATGAACCAAAGAACCCACAGCTCAGGTCTGGACATCGGAGCAGCCAGGCAGCTAGTGGGGGGTCTCCCCCTTGAGGATTGTGCACCCCTGAGGTGAGGAGCTCAGGAGCAGCCTGTCCCTGGGTTTGGTGAAGGAACCACGGGCAGCAGGGTCAGGCCTCACTTCCCAGAGAAGCATTAAAATCCATATAGTGGTTTATTGCGCCTGTCTTTTCACTCGTCAGAAGAACAGCAGTGCTCTGCATGGATGCTGTCCCTTCATCCTGATGTGGGTGAAATGGTGCAGGATGGGGTGGGAACTGATCCGTGAATATGCAGTGGGAGTGAGAAATAACCCTTCTCAGTCACAAGTTGTTGAAATTTTGAGTCTGAGTGTGCGCAGAATATATCCCAGCTACCTGTACAGGCAGGTGCCTCATTAAGTGCCACATACGTGTCACCAATTATTATTTTTATCTGAGCACCAGGGTAATGGTGATGGTACAAGGGGATTTCAAAATCTCAGAGTCAAAGATGGAAGAAGCTGATGAAGTTAACACATTCTAGTCACTTCAGTCCTTGAAGAAACTGGCTCCACATCCAGCGGTGTGCTGGTAAGTGTCAACAACTGGGTGTGGATGGAGTCAAAGGTACTGATTTGTCGCATCTGTTAATTTCTGTAGCATTAATGTGCCCACCATGGCTGATTTCAAACTAAAGATGGACACGATGGGATAGTGGGGACAGCTGTGCACAGGGGCTCCCATGATCCCATGATCCCAGTACACAGCTGGGGCACACACCTCTAATAGGTTTCACTGGCAAGTGGGGATGATATACAATCATGCTCTGGAGAAAGATCTGACCAACTCTGGAAAACAAAAATGCCACCTAAAGCCACCCCTGCTCAGCACAGGAAGTTTGGAAAAGCAGGGCTCTGGCTCACAATCTCCTCCACTGAATGCCATGGATGCAGGAGCCAGTCAAGACAGCCTTAATAAGCTGAGGAAAATCACAGCCTCCCCAGCAGTTTTGAGACAGAATGAAAGGAAAATACTTAGAAGCAGAAGAGGAGAAATAAGGATTGTTTTCCAAGACGAAACCACTTTGATCTCAGTCAAAACAGATCATGCTGAAACCAGGCTGCTGTTACCTTTGAAAATATATTTCTCCACAAATCCTGTCTTTCTAAATTGAGCAGTGAGTCAGCAGTGGGCAGTGTGGCATGTGAAAGAGAGGAGGACAGAGCCAGAGGTACCACTGATGCTTCTGTTATTAGAAGTGTCTGGGAGAGTAATTTGGTAGAAGCTTTTCAGTTTTTAGGTCACTAGTTTAAATTCCATCTCAGTTGATCAGGAGCAAAAGGGAATGGCTGGAAGCTTATGAAAAAAAGCCTTGATGATGACACCCTCATTCTTTCCCATACAGACTGCCACTGAAAGTGGCACCCTTTCTTTTGCTCCTACCAGAAGCAGAAAGGGTGAACAGAAATGTCATTCTCATATTTGCTCAGCTTTTGCAGTAGAGAAATTTGAGATATGAAAAAGATCAACTCCTTTTCATCTTTAACTCACAGGTAGAGTTATTCTCCTATAATATGGCTCCTGGACATTTCTGGGATTTACTGAATTGAGACCTAGGACCATCTTATAAGCAAGTTTATGCTATTTCATAGAAAGTTAAATTGTACAAATTCACATTCCACAGGAATATTTAAATGCAAAACATGTACAATGTCTTAGCTTGAATATCACAAATCTAGGACTTATTTAGGTTTTCTTCTTGTTTACACAATAAATCCATACATGGGCCATATATGCCCATATATGGATTTATATGTATATATAGAAGACTTTTGTTACTGCATTAAATGGACTTGTCTTCATACTCATTTTCAGAGACTATGGGGTTCTTTTATTTTGTCCATTAAAATACTCCAAATTTCCTTGTTGCTAATATGCCTACCTTCACATAATTTTGTTTCCCACATATTTCAATAGTAAATGAACCACAGAAGCAAAGTCTCTGTAGTTACCTGGGGAAAAGCAACCAAATGGATACTACAGCAGAGGAACAGAGAAGTATCTGGTAATGCCAGGCACAGTTCCAGCCGCCTCAGGTATGAAGAGGGATCCAAGGGAATGAGCCTTGTTTTGGAAATGATGAAAATGCAATCAACTGATCTAGGCCCCAGTTACTTTCCACAGGGTTCACTTTACACATCTGGATCATGAGGCTGATGTGGCTTATTACTTTCACATCCTCTCCAGTTCAAACATTCACTGCAATCCCCACTTTTACCCCCTCAGGCTTTGGGTGAGAGGGTGTCCGCATTCAAATGGGAGGTGGGCAAGATATAACTATGTCTTACATCTCACCTCCTGTGGTGGTAAAGATCAGTGCTGGGATGTTCCTGAAGTATCACATGCACATCTTATTTATTTATTTATTTGACAGAGATCACAAGTAGAGAGGCAGGCAGAGAGAGAGGAGGAAGCAGGCTCCCTACTGAACAGAGAGCCTGATGCGGGGCTTGATCCCAGGACCCTGAGCCAAAGGCAGAGGCCCTACCCCACTGAGCCTTCCAGGCGCCCCTCACCACATCTATCTGTCCTACCCTTCAAGGCCAGCTTTCCAAACTCTCGTCAGCGAGCTGACCCATTCCCGTGTAACAATACCAGAAGGTCATTTCCCTGTCCTCTGGACATCCACAGGTAGAATGATGGATCATGTGGTGATTCTTACATCGAGGGGCAGTTATCAACACCATATAAAGCCCGACTTGTAGATTGAGTGAAAGACACAAGCATTTCTGGCCAAATGTGCTTTAGTCAGGAATATATATAAACAGTGAAAACAGAGCAATCATCCTACTAGTTACAAAATATGCCCATGAATCTGGACCTGCAAATGCAAGTATCAGCTCAACCTCCTCCCTTCACCTAAAGGGATAAATGAGGCCCAGCAATTACGAGATTTGCCCATGGCCACAGAATGAAGGTTACTGCTTCAGAATCAGAATGCCTACCATCCGTCCCTGAACCCAAAGTTATTTTCTCTATACCACACTGCAGCAAAACTAAATCCTGCTGGGCAAAGGAATTCGAGTCAGAAAATAATAGTCAGCTACAGACTCTTTGGGTGCAAAGTACAAAATATTCAAGCGCATGTTTCCAATCCCTTCATTCTGTCTTGTAATGATTGCAGCTAATCCCTACCAGCTGACGTTAGTCCTTCGGTGTGGCAATCAATAGAATGGATTAACTGAGGAAACCCTCCATCCATATTACCCCCGTTTTCCTTTCCAGATGGACTTGTCCTGTACTAGAGTGCAAGCAGACATGTGAATCCCCCGTCCCCATGCACAGATACAGACCCATCAGCCTTCAAGGTTGTCTCCATAGAGCTCTACGTATATACCGAGAAGCATACCTGTAGATTTAATAAAACAGCGCCGATCCTCATGGCTTCACTGATTTCAAGGCTGTACATCAGCTGTGGGAAGCGGGGAGGGCTTTGATTATTTGGAGGAAGCACTTCAATATACACTGTGCAGATGGAGTGTCTGTAGAGAAAGAGAACAAATAGGATGGGTAAAAATCTACATCATCTTTCATGACGGAGTGCAGTCCGCGTTCTGCTGTGGGGCTGACAGGAGAGGACATTTTGAGTTTTTACAGAAGACAATAAAATAATTCAGAATGAAAGGATGTTAAAATAAAAGTTACCACCAGAATATCATGTTTCTATGAAATTATCTCAGTAAAAAGTAAAGAATGCCTCAGGGTACCGATTTTTCCTGCTTAGATTAATAGTGCGAATTAAAATGGAATAGCAGTACAAATAAAGCTAATAAATTAACAGGAGCCTTGACTGCTGACTTTACTTTTTAATGTCTTTCTAATAGCAAAAAGCATTCTATAAATATCTGGTAATATGAGCGGTCCTTGGGGCTCTCTTCCTATTAAACCAGCAGAGGGAGTATTGATTAAAATAACACACAAAACGAAATACGGGCTGTGTTTTATTAGTTTTCTTGCTGACATGAATGGCTTCATGTAAATGCATGTCAAGAGTCAGGCTCATAAAGTAATCGTTGTGTAAATTAGTTGCAAACAAAACTAAAGGTGTTTTTAAGTCTTCTTTGAAGAATATACTATGAAAGGCTAGAATTAGATTTAATTAAAGCCTTACATTGATAGGCAATTTTTCTGAAGGTCAAGAGGACATTCTGTTACTAGAAAGACAAAAATATTAATGCGTACATATTCAACTTTTTGGATATCTCTAACCACTGAAAGTTCTTTGCTCAACAAAAGCTATAAAAGCAAGACATTCAAGATTTATACTGAAGTAGCACTGGCTAAAATTATAGTAATGAGAAAGTCATCTTCCATCTGGAAGAAGATGCCACCACTAATGTCTGACTACAGTTAGTCTGCTGTCTTGAAGAACACACAACCCCTGCTTAAGCTGTATGCTTTAAGTTTATTTTAACAAAATCACCACTTTTCACTAAAAACACATTTGTTGTCATTTCTATTTGGGGGCTAGAATTTCGTTAAAGTAGCCCAAAGTTCTTTTGGGACACCTAGGGGGCTCAATTAAGCATCCAACTCTTGATTTTGTCTCAAGTCAATCTCAGGGTCATGAGATTGAGCCCCGTGTTGGGCTCCACACTGATCTTGGCCCCAGCTTAAGACTCTCTCTCTTCTTCTGCCTCTCCCATCAGCTTACCAGCTCACTGTTGTTCTCTTAAAAAAAAAAAATGTTTCTGGACATACTCTCAATAGATGAGTACCTATAGAATACAAGCACCTCTAAAAAATTGCACTGACTTAAAAAATTTCATACTTAACATTTATCACAAAACTGTTCCAAAATAACCTCATTTTAAATTAAAATCTCTTATAATCAGTTTTTGTAGTTTATAATCAAAGTATCTGTATTTCTTCTGGCCTCTGGATTTATCACTTTATTGTTAAAATTTGTCAATAAAATGAATTAAATTCTAATGTTTTCTTTACAAAAAATACATGCATGTGTGTGTGTTCATATATATATATATATATATATATATTTACAACTGAGAATTTAAGAGTAAGATGTTTACAGTAGGTTAAAATTGTTGATGAAATGTTACCTATAACCTTATAGGTATTAATCTTAGGGCTAGATGCAGAAGACAACATGGTGGGAAGAAAAATATCCACAAGTTACCAAATGTAATGTGCATTACAGAGCCCCACTTCTCATTTTGAAGTAGACCTGTTATCTTCCCAGGTGGTGATCTGGCTCCAACCGTACCCACAGGATTCCTACTCTCCCTGAAACTACTCTCATGACCCTGGCTTCTTTGAACATCTGTTACCCAACAAGTCATTTAAACATTTTGTAAGTCTGTTCTTTTTTCCAGCCAGCACACTGTCTGTGCCTAAGAAGTCCTCTAACATCTGTCCTCTGCCATATTGGTAATAACCTTGGCTGAGGGATGTTATTGAGCACAGGATCTGTAACCACACATCCCTGAGTTAGAATTTGGATGGGTACCACATCCTGGGCAAATTATTTCAGTTTTACCACTGGCACCCAAAATATGAGAGTAATCCTGACATCACACTTTAGCATAAGGGTTAAATAAGATCACGTGTGTGTGTGTGTGTGTGTGTGTGTGTGTGTGTGTGTGTGTGTTGTATGTTGTATGCATGCACATATAAAACATTTCTCCATTATTACTGATAACTGTTCAAAATAAGGACTCCTGTTCTATGGAATGGAGTAAATAAGCTTGATATATTATTAACTTCCCTTATAATTTTTAAGCATTTTAATTGCATCCTTTCCCTTTTCTAGTCTAAATACCTAAGGGCATGATACCCTAGTCGTCTCCCCAAAGTGGGGTGTGGTGTTGTCAGTGTTGAGGCATATTAGATCAGAATCTTCTGGTGTGGGACAGAAGGCTCTCCATTTTCAATGGATATATAATATCCTTACACACTTGGTTTAGAAGACCACTGGCCCAGGAGCTCTTGGCAAAAATGCATGTAGGCTCACTTACTTTTTAAGTTAGTAGCCTGGGGCTTCCTCTATAAACTGACCAAACGCTCACCTTGGTTAACCCCGGAGGTAAGAGATTCTTTCACTGATTCACAATTTTTTCTTTTTTTTTAACCTAGAACACACCTGTACTCCAGATTCAAAGTTTTCTTTCAAAAACTTGGGCCTTTCCTGCTTTTGGCGTTTTTTACAGCTTCAGTTTACTGGCCTGGAATACTTGCTAAAGTCTTTACCAAAATATGAGGCTCTTCTCCCTCATGAAAGTACGGTTTACACTGAACTGGTTATACTCTGTGTGTTTCCTTACTCCTCCCCTTTTGACTATTTTCCTCCCAAGAGGACTAAATTGTTACATCCACAAAACTACAGGAAGGACCTCTACACCCAAAGAGGCTGGGTTTATCAGCTACAGAGATGACAACCCTATGCCCCCAGGCAAAGGATGGACAGAACAGCTGTTGTGCAACACCTGCTTCTCCTTCATCCAAACTTATTCCTTCCCTTCCTCTGCTCCGTTCCACAATTCAAATGCTAAAATTGCTAATTACATTTGTTTCTGCTCCTCCCACCCCCCACCCCCACTTGGATCTGGGAATTATTTGAGAAAGATCAAGTTTCAAGGTCTAGCATTTTTCATCTTCAACTTCCTGGCCCTTCCTACCACGCATTGAAATAACCACCAGCCTTCCTGCTTTTTATCCCTGATGTCAGCACTGTGGCAGAGTTAGCCTTCCTGAAACTAAACACCAATAGTATTCACAATAAAATGATACCCTAGATGTTGTAATGAATACTAGTAATTCAACAGCATCAGTTAAGCACATAATAAAACAGGACAGTCACTAGATAAATAACATTTTATGTGAACATTTTGTATTAACATTTTATAGCTAGTCTTAAATGCATAAAATCAAGCAGTTATATAATACAGATTTTATTTTTGTAATGTAGCCAGTATGATGTAGGTAGACCTCTATTTCTAAAAAAAAAATGAAAATCATAGCACTTTCTCTTTCTCATTTGGTAATGAAGGTCAAAGTAGAACCCAAGGGCTGATGTATTTTCTCAGGTTATCTTACAATTTTAAAAGACCCTAGAAACAATCTAATTTAACTCTCTCATTTTACAAAAGAGGATTAGAAAATCAGAAAGATTAAGTGGCTGAATCAAGGTTAAAAAGTTAATTAGGAACTGCAGATAAACTAAAAGGCAAGGCTTCTAAATTCCAAATCTGTCCGCCTGTTCTCCGCACCCCCCACCACTTCTACAAGAACAAATTTGGGAAATAAATTGGAGATTTTTGACTTATCTGCTGTGTGTGTGTTTCTGTAGGTGAGTAGAAACATCCTTAGTATAAAACATCTGTAACGAAAGATGCTATCTTACAAGAAAACATGCATTGGTTCAAATCTTGAGCTTAAGGCATACCTTATCACAATTCATTTTCATTATATCATGCATGAGACTTCATATATACATATATATGTATACATATATACATATATACATATACACACATATATGTATGTGTGTATATATATGTGTGTGTGTGTGTATATATATATATATATATATATATATATATATATATACAGGGAGAGAGAGAGAGAGAGAGGTTGGGAAGATAGACTTTAAGAGGTTTTCACCTTGCAGAAATATTTCAAAAGATAAAAAGTCCTTTTGTTTCGATATGACAGTAGTACTCAGTTGCAACGAGATAATGTTGCTCAATTGTGGGCTGTACAATGTATATTGTAATATACTATGGATGGGTCAACCTATGCTATGGGTATTTATTTGTAATCTACTTCTTTACCTTGCTTCTGAGGTGGAAGTGTGTATATTGTTTTCCCTAGTAGACTTAAAACAGAAATTGCCTTTCTTTTCCTTTATCTCCCACCAACGCTGTGCGAGAAAAGCTCTATTTACAGGTCACCCTTCCTGAGTTCTATTTTACTATTTTGGAAGTACATATAGGAAATCTATAGGAGCAAAGGTTTCAGATTTAAGACCAATGTAGGATATCAGAGAAACCTCTCAGGGGACGTTGCAGGGACAGAGTTTTAAGACATAAGATGGATTTAGATTTAACGACAGGACGTTCCACAGGGGGGAAAACACATCTGCAAATTCACAGGGCAATAAATTAAAAAAAGTGTAAGTTTTGTAGCACTACAGAGAAGGGTATAAATAGGAAAATGGTAAAAGTAGGATCTGAGAGATCATGGAAGGACTCATGCATTATATAGTTATTGATTTAAGTTTCATCTTGACCATTAGGGACTGGCTGATAGACTTCAAACAGGTTAGTGATATGCTCAAATGTGCCAAGTAACGCATGTTCTCATAACACACCATTCTTCATCAAGTCTCTGGGTCTTTGTTTTTATTGGTCCTCTATTTGGATATCCCATTATCATTCCTGTTGAAGTTAACCTGTACTTGTAGTTACCTGCGATTATGCGTCTAGTCATACTGGTGCTTCTCCTCCATATGAATACTCTGAGG